ATTCTCCATTAAGCTCATACTGAAAGCCTTGAATAAAAGACTTAAAAAGCTCAGCAGAAAGTATTAATTCTGAAGGAAACATGTAAATGTGGATGAAAACTTCCATTCATTTTTAATCTCACTATGGTAAACCTTGTAATTAAGATGATTAAATGTCTGAATGAAACCCTATATTTACACCCTTTAGAATGCCATAATGAAAAACCATAATCCTGTTTATGGAAAGAAAACAGTAGAGGCCTTTTAAATTGGAAGCATCAAACAAAGCTTGTTATTTAAGCAGTTGGTAATTGAGAACCTCTTGCTTAGCAAAACGACATCTAAGAGTTAACTGTCTAGAAAACCTGTCTTGGAGAAAAAAAATAAATGGGAAGAATCAAATAATATGTTTATGGAAGGAAAATAAAAAATAGTGTTATGCTTATGAATTATCAGCTTATCCACATTGAATGTATTTTACAAGAAACAAGTTAAGGATTTGCAACAAAAACAGTATTAAATGGGAAAGCTTCTGGAGTAGACACATTGAGATGATACAAGATTCCCTTAAGAAGTCAGAGATAGCATTTTTTTAAAGTAATGGTTTAGGAAGAGCAGGAGGTGGGAATCTGCAGGTGGCTGTCATAACGAATTGGCACAAAAACCTCTTCATTGAACCTATTTTCCTTCACCATTCTGAACAAAGGGTTAGTGTCTCACTGAAAAAATGCCTCATTTTGCTGCTTGGTTGTTTCTCAGCAAAGATGACAATAACTTAAAAAACTCATTTATTAAACTCAGGAGATAATTGTGTCATCTGAATCTGAATTGCAAATATTCAAAATCTATTTCAAGTGTGCTTACCACCCCACACTCCCCTGTAAAATATTTGGACAACAATCTAATGAAAGTCTGCATGAATAATCTATGGGTATCACAAGTTTGTGTGTGTTTGCTTGTTTAATGCACTGCCTCTTGATAATATATCACAGCATAAATAAACAAAAATCAAGTCTATATACATACAAAACTTGTTTTCTGATTAAATTCTTGTTAAAAGAAATTAGTGCAGTATTTTTTTCAGTCAGTGGTGGTTTGTAAAGGCTTTCAGATTTTTCTAGAATTGTATTCTGTAAGAATGGAATGTAGGTACTATTCAATCAAAAGAATTTACTTTATCTTCTATTTGAAAGCAGGTTAATAAACCTATATCTCTTTTAATACAGTGTTCTTTCATTAAGTCATCTTTCTTTTCCCACAATGATAAGGTCATACTGATATTCTTAGGAAAGTTCATACATAGTAATTAACTTTGTAGATTGAAGACTGGAATTCTGTTGAAGGACAAATTGCTTATGAGGTTGTGGAGAATGATTAGGCTTGATATTGTATCATAGACTTATCTCCTGTGATAAGCAAATGAAAATTATTTCTAAAGGTGCTGATCAATGTGAATAAATCAATATAGTGTTCATCCACAAAAAATTCTCTGTCATCAAAAATACTCCCGTAACTCATGGCCTTGTTAATTTTAGATGTTCACAGACTGCAAACATGCTTTAAATAGTCTTTAGCATAAATGTATCCCCTACAACATCTTAGTACTCACTTGAAAGTTTGTCTCCCACACGCCTTTAAGGGTCAAAATTTCTTACAACTATTTAGAAGATAATACCATCTTTGCAAATTAGACACAAAAACTAAAATGGTATACCCAGAAACTGAATGCTTTAAAAAAAAAGCATATGTAGACATTCCCACACAAAAATCCTTGAAGTACCTCTGCACTGCAAAAGACAGTTTTACCTGGAAATGAAGTTTCATATTTGCTTCTTAATTTCAGAATTGAATTCACACACTTTCCCCCTGAAAGTTCAGGTCTTTGTCCAGAATTATTTTTCACAAATGGACTCTGACCTGGCAGTCAACTTTCATTGTTGTCTTGTACCTTACTACCAGAGCTTTGTGGAATGATTTACTGTTGAAATAACTCCTCCACACTGCAGAACCTTTCCTGGACTAGATATGGTGAGAAAGCTATGCCAACAGAGGATCAAAATATTTCTCTGCAAGTAATTTTCCTGCTAGCATACCACAGTGGTGCTCAAACAATATAAACTAAAGCAACTGAATGCTCTCTGTAAGCACTGTACTTACCACTGTATTAGTCTTCCACCACCAAAAGCAATGTGTGTGTTACAGAAGAACATTGTGTTAGAATCTGACTAAATAAAAGTTCAGAAGCATAATTTCAGGGGAAAAAATTCTAAATGGTCTGATGACACACAAGGTGCATTTTGTGGAATGGTAATTGTTAAAAGGTGTACGACAATTTCACTCATTATTGATATCTGTCTATCCTTGCACTCTCAGTTTGTTTTGGGAAATCCAATCATAGAATCACAGAATATTAAGGGGTTCAAATGGACCTTACAGATCATCTAGTCCCAACCCCCTTGCCATGGGCAGGAACATCTCTCACTAGATCAGGTTGTTCAAGGCTTTTTTCAACCTGGCTTTGAACACTGCTAGGGTTGGAGCATCCACTACCTCCCTGGGCAACCTGTTCCAGTGTCTCACCACCATCACAGTAAAAATCTTCTTCCTAATATGTAATCTAAATTTCTGCTATTTCAATTTGCACTCATTTCCTTGTCCTATCACTGCAGTTCCTAAAAAAGAGTCTCTTCTAGTCTCTGTAGGCCCCCTTCAGGTACTGAAAGGCTGCTATGAGGTCTCCATACAACCTTCTCTTCTCCAGGCTGAACAGCCCCAATTTCCTTAGCCTGTGTTTGTAGTGGAAATACCAAATAGTTTTTTTCAAATTTATAAGCTTCCTCTGGACTTGCTCCAACAGTTCCATGCTCTTCTTAAATTGAGGGCACCAGAACTGCACACAATATTCCAGGTGGGGTCTCATGACAGCAGAGTGGAGGGGGAGAATCACCCCCTTCAACCTGCTAGCTACATTCCTTTTGATGCAGACCAGGACTGGCTTTCTGGGCTGCGAGTGCACACTGCCGGCTCATGGTGAGCTTCTCATCCACCATCATACCCAAGTCTTTCTCCTCAGTGTTCCTCTCAATTACTTCTCCACCCAACCTGTAAGTGTGACTGAAGTTCACTTTGTTGAACTTCATGAGGTTGTCATCAGTCCTCTTCTCAAACCTGTCAAGGTCCCTCTGGAAGGCACACCCCTTCCCTCCAGTGCGTCGACTGCCGCACACAGCTTGCTGTCATCAGTGAACTTGCTGAGGGTGCACTCAATTCCTCTGTCCATGTTGCCAGCAAAGATGTTGAATGCTGTTGGCCCCACCATCAACCCCTGAGGGACACCATTTGTTACTGATGTCTACATGGACAATGATCCACTGACCACAACCCTTTGTGTCTGACCATCCAGCCAGTTCTTTATCCACCAGTGTCCCATCTATCAAATGCATGCCTTTCAATCTAGAGACAAGGATGTAATACGGGACAGTGTCAAACAGTTTGCAAAAGTCCAGGTAGATGATGTCAGTTGTTTTGCCCCTATCCGCTAATGCTGTGGCCCCATCATAGAAGGCCACCAAATTTGTCAGGCATGATTTGCCTCTGGTAAAGCCATGTTGGTTATTACCAATCCCCTCATTGTTCTCCTTGTGTCTAAGCATAGGAGAATCTGCTCCGTGATCTTGCCTGGCACAGAGGTGAGACTGACTGGTCTATAGTTCCCTGGGTCTTCTGCTTTCCCCTTTTTAAAAATGGGGGTTATATTTCCCTTTTTCCAGCCAACAGGGAGTTGGCATATTTTATTTCCCTTTTTCCAGCCATCAGGGAGTTGACCTGAAAAAAATTCAACTCTGGTGTTGGAACTGACTCTCACTTATTCTGCCTATATCTTTTCCCTCTCAGTTTACTTATCATAATGAAGTAATATCATGCATTCAATTCCATCACATAGATAGTAGTGTTAGACTCGGAAAGAGATTATAAAGGCAACCCCAACAAGATATTTCCCTTTTTCCAGCCATCAGGGAGTTGACCTGAAAAAAATTCAACTCTGGTGTTGGAACTGACTCTCACTTATTCTGCCTATATCTTTTCCCTCTCAGTTTACTTATCATAATGAAGTAATATCATGCATTCAATTCCATCACATAGATAGTAGTGTTAGACTCGGAAAGAGATTATAAAGGCAACCCCAACAAGAGATTCTACTCAGAAGAGAGAAAAACAGAGAGATGGCATTGATAACTGTAATACAGTAATAACAGCCATTCCAGTATAAATAGAAATGGAACACTTTTCTCTAACAAAAACTCAAAAGATTTTATTTTTTGCATCACTTCCATCTGCAATGTGACTTTTTTCCAGGCTTCAAATTTGGAGGAAAAAAATATCCCCACACTACAGACCTCATTTCCTGAAGAGGAAAAGGATAGGCTATGCTGCATCTATTGAAAAGCAACATATTCTGCCTAGCATCATGTCTCCAGGTGTTATGTGATATGCAAATATAAAGACATATGTAGCTATCTGCAGACTTTGCAGAAGTGCCAACTTGAAAAGCATTTGGGAATCTGCATGAGATTTATAGTATTTCTAATATCAATGACACAGCAAATGGAAGCAACCAAAAGAATTTCTGTACTATTGAAAACAAAAGGCAATTTGTACTCAACAACAGTATTATGACATTGACATTTGGAGCAAGTTCTGAAGGCTTCTAGACTCTAAAATAAATCTTCTGTGACCTCAAGGCAGCATATTCACCACGGGTGGCATGGAAACTTGTTACATTCAAGTTCTATACTAGGAATACAACAATCTTGTAGCACAAAAGCTGCTGCTATCCAGTGGCATTTGCAGTATATGAGCTTTAATTAGTCCTGTGGCACTCCAAAAACTGTAAGAAGAATGGTGACTATTTCATTCTTGAAGTTCCACAGTCAAATACACATTGTATCTAAAATACTGAGCATCTAAATATGAGCAAACTGTAAAGGATCAGCATACACACAAGCTGCAGCTTACTGTACCTGGAGAGTGAACTGGAGGTGAGCACATCAGAACAACTCCTTGACCTTCACGTACAGAGACAGCACTTCTTGTCCGACCACTAAAATTCCCCAGATCTATCAAAAGAACAGAGCATTTTAGTTACATACCAAAGACTTTAAATTTTGTGGCTACTGTGACTTATATTTTATTTCCTCTTGTAAAGCTGGCAGTTTCTTTTTTTCATATCTTAATCTATAATAGGAGGGCTTGAAAAATAAATCTATTTCCACTAAAAAAAATTCCATGTTACATCAGCACTTTATTATTCGTTTTAGTGCACTTGGCTACAGTATCAAAAGAAAAGCAGCAGACTATATATATCTGCCATTTACAAAAATAATTAATAGTGATTTTATTTCTTTTTGCTATATCCTGTTTGGGCTTTTTTTTTCCCTCAGCAGAAGTGATTCATATGCAGTTAAAAAAAAGAGATACAAATAGTGACAGCACCTTGGATAATATCCAGACTGATGATGTTGTTGATGTCATCTAGACAGTGCACATAACACATTGTGATGACAAGAAATAAAAATCAGCACATTGGTTCTAAAACTAAATCTGGTCTATAGCACATTTATTAATTTAAAATACTTTCCTTCTGATTTCTCTGGTGTTATAAGCACAATCCAATTGTGGGTAAATATATTTTTCCTCCAAAACTTTCCCTCTAGGAGTGCTATAAGAAACATTTCACTTTACGTACAAAAATTTTTGAATGACGCTGTAGATGCTGCTATGAAGAGTTCATTGTATTTATTTAAAGCCTCTCAACCTTTTACCACACAGAACACAGGACCTGGAATCACATTTGGGGTGGATAGCTGTGTTCTAGCATGGGTATCTGTAGCAGAAGAGACATGAGAGTTCAGTTCTGCCATCAGACCGGTGCCTTCACCCATTCCTCAGTGCCAGCATGCTGTTCAAAGCCTCTGAGACATATCTCTGTGATGTGGAGCAAGGTGAAGAAAGCAGCAAGGGTACCCAAAGATATCTTTGTAAAGGACACAGAAGCTTCAGCAAGTGCTAAATGAGGATCCAAAATATGAATAGATGGGGCCAGTGAGAGCATCTCTCATTGATATTCAATGATCTGTAACCATACCTCTTCATTTCTGAATACAGCCCAAGGTTCTGGGATGAGCCAGAGGGCACCAAACAGTTTGAACAGGTGGAGCAGAATTATTGCTATTTTAACTGCACTCTGCTGATAGTTCTGTGTCAGATGCTGAAATTCCACATCTTGCTCCATGCCTAGTAAAGTGTAAAACTGAAGTTCAATGATTTGCAAAAGTAATATGAGTTGGTTTGGGATGGATTTCATAATGAGGACTAGGTGCATATTTTTAAGTAGAGAGAAACTTTCCAAACAACCTTTTTTATTTCTAAGAGATGTCTTGGGTACAGGCAGAAGTCTAAAATTTAAATGTATCTAAATTTGTGCTGTCTTTGGCCAAAATAAGTCAGTGCTTTAGTTAAAACAATTGATACCATGTTTGAATAGAGAAAATATGGGTGGGGTACAGTAGAATTTTAACAAATAATAGGGCTACATTCCAAAACTAACAAAATTTTGCTAATCAATAGATAATTACTAATTATATTGCATTTTAAAATAAGCCCACCATGGTTATAGCATATTTGGGTGTAATTTCACTTAAAAGTGTTTGTTATTGCATGTTACTTGATAATACCTTCTGCAGAAAAGTAATTATTATTATTTTATGTCTAGAAAATAGTGGGCTGGTATGTCCCTGAATACACAGTTGTTTTGGGTGGAAGAATGTCTTGCAATTAAAACTCTTCTTATTTAAGAATGCCTGGAATTCACTTGCATGCAACTTTGGGCCTACAAGTTTATGTATGTTTGTGTTAAGTCCTTTATTTTTCTAAAAGGAATCTGTTATATCGACCAACACTGTCTGCAGCAAATTAAGAAAACAATGTTTTGCATTCATTTTAATGTACAGTTTAGAATTAAAATCACTTTTTAAAATACATTATTGATGCATATTTGTAAAAACTGTGTCTCCTTATAGATTTTTTCCCAAGGTCATTTTTTTAACTCAAACATGACACTGAATCACTACAAAATTGTTATTGTGGCCTTCCTCCAAAATCTTTGCTGTATGGCTGTCCTAAAATGTGTGGTTTGTTTTATGTCTCAAATGTCTTCATATGTACCAAAAAAACTTCAGTGAATTTAATATTTAGACAGAACTTGAACTCATATGCCATGACTTCAACATTTTTGAGAATGTGTTCCAAAACCAAAGTAGCTGGTCTGTGAGAAAAAGAACTTCAACACTACTGGCTACCTGAAACTCATATTTTATGTCCATTATATGCATCATAAAAGGTTATTTTTTCAAATTTAGATTCAATTTAAATTCAAAATTCAATTTGATATATTTATTCTATTAAAGAAAATAATGTGCACATCTCTCCTCAATGATAAAAGCTTTTAATGTAGAATCCAGTGTCTTCTAGGGTTATGTGTTTTCAACCTTTGTATTTTTACTACCTATGATACACAACTGGAAGCCTATCAACATAATAGAAAGGAAATTTGTGGCATACAAATTGTAACCTCTGTAAGCAGAAGTATAAGTTTCATACTTATGCTATTTTTTTCCTCAGGTGTCTAAATGCTACTTTCCCATTAGCTATAGCAACCTCAGGATAATTTATTTCCCATTTCCTTCTTTGAACATGCATTGTGATGGACAAATATACTTTTTCTTTTTTATTTCAAGAAATGAAAAACAAAGGTACTCTTTCTCATTTGAAAATAAAGTACTATGTATGACAAGTTTCTGTTTGTTCTAACCAATTAATTTCAAACTAAAGAAGGAAAATAACAAAGAGCTTTGAATTTTCTCATTTTGTCTGTTGATTCTGAATTGGATTTATTTTTAGCATACAGTGGAAAAAAGGATTAACAGGTAAAAAGCAGGGATTTAGTTGTAAAACAAATAAATGTAGGAAAGCTTAAAAGGAATGTAAGGTGAAGGATCATGCTTGCAGTTCCCTCACATTAAAATAATAAGTCCAGTATGGAAATTAGTTATTAATTATAATAACTTTTCTTTATTAATCATGGAAATTAAAGGAAAATTTAATTAATTTCTTGTAAATCTCAGCTGTTTCATATCAACATAGGAAAAAAAAGAAGAAAGACAGCTATTAAAACTCTATACAAAACCCAGTAGTTTTACTTTAAAAACTCTAAAGAGGTAGTCAATAAAAGAAAAGGTGGATGGAATCCAGCTTTAGAGGTGGACTGTGACCTCTCACAGAGCAGCACTGGCCATCAGTACAGTATTGCTGCAGTATAAACCTGCAACATGTGTGACATGTAAGAACCCCACAAGGAATGAGCCTATCCTATTATGATGTATATGGCTGATAGACAAGAAAATGCCTTCTTGTGCTCCAAAGGTGTTGACCTTCTGCCCTGAAAGATTAATTTACTCTTATCTCAGAGCTAGCAGCAAAGGAAATAACACTTACGGTATTTTCAAAGCAGTTCCTGGGGGGTTTAGCTTCTTCTCTTTATTTCTCTTCTATACTCTTTAACATGAGACATAGCCTTGATCACTTTAGAAATGTGTAGCTAAGTGTCACTCACCACGTCTAATGTACCTTACTATTAACAATGTATATGCAAAACATACAAAGGACATTTAGGATAGACTGTGTGTGGCAGGAGTAACAGTATTGTCTTTATTGCTAAAAAAATTTTAGACAGTGTCACTAGAGTACACCCTGCAACACAGAAGTGATCTCCACTGTGAAAGGAAAATAGTAGAGAAATTCAAGAGCTAGTGAAGATGCCAGACATTAAATCCAAAAGGTTTGGTGCAATGCTTTCTGGATGTCCTATTTATACTGGAGGTATAACTAGCTCAGTGCAGTTTGAGTGAAGTTGTAAGAGTGGGAAAACTCTTCAGATCTCCTATCCAAAGTAGCTGCCAGGTAGAGTCTCTCTCTGCAGTGGTTATTCCCATTCTTTGGAAAGGAGCTGAAGAATGGGTTTCTCTCAGTACACATACATGTGTATTGATGTGCATTGTGGAAGAAGGACATTTACCACCACAAGAGTATCAGTTTAAATAAGACTCAACAGACAAAAAAACCCACTTCTTCAGGACTGAAAGGAGTAACAGGAAATAAATGAGAAAAATCTCAAGGCAGTCAAAACAGCTAAAAGCTTTACTGGTCTAGCAACAAAATAAACATCTAAATAAAAGGGGAAATATTCTGCCATTGATGAAAGACCCTGTACAAAAGTTAGAGCAGTTTTTATCACTTCCAATTCACCTTCACTGTAGTTTGCTTTTTAGGTATGCACAGGAGCAATCATTCATCCTCTGTGTTCATTAGTTTGATGCAGCTAATGGGGGCAACAGGGAAGGGGAAGTTTTTTCTGACCCAGACAACAGTCCACTCATGATTGCAAAGAAATTAGGATCAAATTAAGGATGAAAACCAGATCTTGCTTTTATTGTAGCCAATTACTTCTTGGTAACCTAGCATGGAAGCTGTGGAAGGCTCTGTACTTCATTATCAGTGACTTAAACCAGTCAACTCACTATTAAATAGAAATTAGATTGGTGCAGAACAATGTCCTCTGCCAGCTCAATTTTGTGAGTTTAAACTACTTTATGTGCAAATTTATTAGGAGTTTAAAATGGGTATAATATGATATGTATTAAAATGGTTAAAGATATATCCTGAAGATACCTAAAGATAAGTATAAAACAGGCAATATTCTTTCCAATAGGGTAAAAATAGCTCTACACAAGGTAAGAGTCTTCTGTCAGTCCAAGGACAAACTTATTTATTGCATTGTCACTAAGAGAGGGTAGCCTTCCTCTCCTTGTATTTGAAAGACAGGGCTAAGAAAAAGACCTTGAGCTGGAATTGTAGCTCTTTTAAAAAAGGTAAGATTTACAGGGAAAATAATTCTATTCAAACATGTTTTCAAAATCCCATTATAACCTAAATCAAAAACATGGTTTGACTGTACACTCTAAACAATAGAAACTATAAATGCTGTGTTTAGTAGTCCACA